CGACTACAAGTACGTCGACTTCAGGACGGGCGAGCCGACAGACTTTGCTGCACCTGCATCCGACGACATGTATCCCGCCTTGCAGAGATATCTCGATGTCATTCTTCAGTATGAGGACATGGTTCTGCCCGGCTTCGACAACTTCCCTGAGCCAGACGCTATTCCTGAGGACTTGCTGATGCCTTTCGTCGACTTCGTCGAGAAGTACAACCTCGAGGCTGCCGTTCCGCAGATCTGGGACTCCACTGCCCAGGGCATCGGTAACACCATGGATGTGCCCACCTTGTTTGTTGTGCAAGCGTCTGGCATTCCTATGGTTCGCGCTCTGCTGGGAACCGGTGCCGCCGCTGTTCCAGCTTCAGGACGTTTATACGATTTGTACGAGGCAGTCGAAGAGTTCTTGGGCGACGACGTATTGTACTCAAGCACGGTCTCTTCATCAAGTCGAACTGAGGACGGTGTGTCCTTGGAGGTTACTGGAGCGGATGGCAAGTCGACTTGCATAGAAGCCAAACGCCTTCTCGTCGCCTTTGAGCCTACAGCAGAGAGCATGGCACCTTTCAACCTCGATGAGACTGAGTCCGAGGTCTTCGACAAGTTCGGCTTCGCCACAGTCTATGCAGGCATCCTTCAGCATCCCTCACTACAACTCAGCACGGCCTACTCAAACAGGTTGCCTGATACCGGCTCAAGCAACAACACGATCTTTCCGACTCCCTCTCAGGTCGGTCGTATTGACTATCTCGGCGGAACCCAGAACCTCTTCCAGTTTACGGCAGTTGGCACCGAGAGCGATACCTCTGAGAGTATGAAGACACTCATTGGCCAGTCCATTGACACAATGATTGAGGCCGGCACTCTTTCCGCGTCGAACGGCACACTCAGCTTCGCTGCATTCGCAAACCACGGCAAGATGCACCCACGCGTAACGGCCGATGACCTTCGTGCCGGCTTCATCCAGAAGCAAGTCGCCCTACAAGGTCACCTTTCTACTTGGTACACGGGAGCTGCCTTTTCCGCAGGCTTTTCGACTGTTGTGTGGGAGTATAACAACGTCCTGCTGCCCAGCTTGGTCGCAAGCATCTAAAGTCGTATCCATGACTGCTTACGTGGAATGGTGTCATGTTCCAAGTCAAGACAAGTACATTACAATTGATCCAAATATTTTCACGTACATATTCAAATTTACATCCAATTCGTAATTGATGGCCTTCCACTATCAGGCACTACTAAGCCATTGCCGGCAGCCCTGCATCGCGACCGTGAGCTACCTCGTCAATGTTATATGTTTTAGGAACGCGTCGTAAACGTATTCCTTTGTGCTCCATACTTTTGCTTGATTTTTCTCAATGAACGGTACATGTTCATATTTCGTATTAAATACCTTGTCTTGAATGGACCGCAGGGAGGCACACTAAGCTACCTGACTACCAAAGATTCCGAGATTCTGCTATCCTGCTGACAAACACTCTTTCCAGGAAACAGAACATTCAGTTGATAGAGCAAGCACAATCCTCGAGGACGTCGATGTTTTACAGTTCCTTTCGGTTCGTCTTTTCTAAACTACCTCGGCAGTTAATTGGACCTGGCTGGTTGCGCACCGCGGACCAAGTCTTTGTACCGTACCATTTTACGAATCGCTTTCCTGAACTACCCATGTATATAGAACAAAACCACAGCATTCGTGAATTGCTCACTTATCACATTAAGTTGATCTCGATCGGCGGCCTGACACGCGTTTGATGCTGACTTTGGCGTATGCGCCACCTTTCTCCGCTGAGGGGAAGCAACTGCGAACCGCTCGGTCACAGCGAGGTGTAACTTATCGGTTATTAGCCTGGTTTGATGAAGAAGTGTGGTTGTGCTCAGTGGCTTGCATGTTGATGTGCAGGGCAATGATTTTCTATGTTCCGGGGGTTTGGCCCTCATTTATGGACCAAACAGGCTGTGACTCCGAACCTACCCTGCTGCAGGAACGCTGGTTGGTGTACCATTCTGAGAAAGAACCAACAGTGACCGCGGGACTGGGATACCAGTTTCCGAGTCGTCTTAATACAAGGGTTGGGGGAAGCGAAGCTCCACTTTGACCTCGAGCGGACGACCGTCTTCAGTCCATCGCCCGTGGAGAGTTCGACCAACGTCCGATGCTTATTCCTAGCTTACTACCTTTGACTTACTGTTCCACTATAACTCTTCTTCGCCTTTCTACATGAGCCTTTGTTTGACTTGTTGAGAGGTCCGTTGGATTATCGTGTCGTATCGCTCTGTGTACCAGCCTCAAAACTAAGGGGTGTCCAACAGTTGCCGGGAATCATCCGGGTTGGTGTCTCCTCAGAGCCCCATTAAAACCATGCAGCCTTCGTAAGATTGACCCAGAAATTTGATACAATTCGCTTGTCAGGTACGAGATGAACCTTGTAAGACTTCCAACCAACAGCTCTTTTACGCGTTGTTCTCTCGTTGCTCCCTTGCAGCCTGGTACGCACGCTTGCATCTTCATTCAGTGAGCTTGGCTGGTAGTCAGTGCTCGGGTCAAGTTGTGATTAGCCAGCCATTCAAAAGATCACTGTGTGAAGACAGGAAGTATGGAGCAGGTCTCAAGTCAGACAAGGACTTTCACCGGGACCCAGAGCCAGAGTAAGCACCTTGTCAGCGTCTGATGAGTATCACGGTTGGGATAAAGTTGATCCAAAGATTTTCTGTCCCAAGAGCTTGGTTATGATCGTTGGTTCCATCGTAGGGCATTCGCCGCATGGTGTGTTCAATTGCAGCCCAGATGCATATTGAAGGAGATGCACGGCGTAAGCAGTACATAGATGTCCCGACGCCTCGGGAAGTGTGGTAATGGAAACTGCGTAGGTTTTTGCTTGATCGTGTTGGTAGTGTCGATCTTCCCACCTACAGTTTTCTTTCTCATCTTCGACGCCCTACCAGGAATCGCTGATTCCGCATGATTTCAACCCGCCTTTCTCCCAGGTAACCTGCTCGGACCAACAGCCTGGTGAGGCTTGGCCAGACATCGTGTCCACTCAAGGGCAAGCAAACATAATCTGCATCCTGGATTGGCCGGGTTTAAATATCACTGGATGTTCCAGTCCTCCGATTCTGGCCCAAGGCCGGCCTCTTTGTCGTTCATCCGCTCGTCCAGCTGGTCTGTCAGATTCTTTACACTCCCACGCAATGGCCAGCGTTGAGAACTGGCATGCCGTAGAGCCCGAGGGCCTTGCGGCCAGGATTCTAGGTGTAACTATTCTTTTCACGGTCGTTTGTCTCCTGGTTGTTGGCTTGAGAGTCTGGCTTCGACTGAAACTTTCAACATTTGGCACGGAAGACTACATCATGTGCGCGGGTGTGGTAAGTTATCACGTTTTTAATTTTTCCCTGACGCGTTGAAGCTTATTGTTCAGGCTCTCAACACGGTTCATAATGCCGTTGTCATGTACGGTAGCTTCACTGGGATAGGCTCACCGGACTCGAAGCTGAACACTGCCATTATGATTGAAGGGGCCAAGGTGAGTAGAGAGCTTCCAATCCCCGCGTGTTGTCAAAGGCTAATTAGATGAAGTCAATTGTTCTGTGGCAGATTTTCTACGTCAGCGGCTCGCTTCTCATCAAAACTAGCATTTGCGTCACCCTCATCCGCATCGCCACCCAACGTCGCTTCGTTTACATTTTATACGGACTCATCGCCATGTCTGCCATTTCGACCTTCATCGCCATTCTTGCCGTCCTTGTCAGGTGCAGACCCATTGCAGCCTCTTGGAATCCTACTCTTGGCACATGCTTGCCGCAGACTATCATCATCACACTCACATACGTTGTGTCAGTCATCAACATCATCAATGACTTTTCGGTGGCGATCATTCCGGTTTTCATGCTCTGGAATGTCCAGATGCGCCGAAAGCTGAAGATCTTGACAACAATGATTCTCGGACTGGGCATTCTGTATGTTATCGGCACGCTTCAAGATCATTCTTTGACGAAAAGCTGACTCGGCCTCAGTGCTTCAACAGCAACAATCATTCGCATGCCCTATTCGTCCGCGTACAACAATGTCACAGATCTTCTTCGTAAGTTTGAGAAAGATCGTAGTGGGATGGTCCCCGCTTACTCGTAAACAGATGATGTTGGCAACATTATCCTATGGACCGTTGTAGAATGTGGGATGGGTGTCATCGCTGGCTCCCTCCCCATGCTTCGACAGTTGTTCAAGGGACTTGCAAAGGATCAGAGTAGCAGAGATGAGTCCTACGTGCTGAGAGCTAGATCGGGGAGATGGCCAAGTCTCAGCAACGGCAGGACCCCTGATGATCATGAGAGCCCACCGGATACGGAGACCGACAGCACCCATCGAATCATGAAGACGAGCAGAGGAGATGCTTCTGAGGGTTCTACCCATACCGCAGAGGTGGTTGGCACTTCTTGGCAAACAGATAAGGATATCGCATAAGGGAAATGCTGCTCAGGGGCGCTTCACTTTGAACCAGGGATTTCAGGCCTTTTTGGGCAGCATGGTCGCAGCAGGAGGGATGTGCGCCGCTCTCATGCTCCAACAGCACTTGTCCGGTTGGACGACTTCATGTTCATTACATCAACAGGGGCTAGACAATTCCATCCCGTAATTATTTATCAACTGTGCTCGACAAAAATGCGTTGCATGCCAATTGCCCATGCATAGATGTGACCAACCCCGGCACCAACATGAGCAGAAGATCTTTTGTGGGGGTCTGAGGGTGTTTGCAACAAGGACCCCGGATGTCACTCGGCTTAAGGGTCCGCCTCCGCTGCACGTTGGAGCAGGGCAGTGAAATGAAAGGCGATCGCTTCGTTGACAGGTGACAAGAAAGCAGCCGTCTCCTCTGTATAAATGTGCGAGATAAACTGTTGCCCATAGTGGTCAGAAAGGTCGCACATCTTGCCCCCTCCTCACCGCACTTGACTTTTGTCCCAATTCACTAGCCTTCAGAGACTTCTTTTCCTTTCAAATCACTTCACCGGTCATGTCTACATACGATGTCAAGGGCAAATTCGCCATTGTTACTGGCGGAGGCTCAGGTACGTAGACATCTTAAAAAATGAGACACCCCGAAAAGATTCTAACTCTGCGTCGTTCCGGGCTAGGCATCAACCATGTCTTCGCGCAGATGCTGCTGGAAGCCGGCTGCTCGGTGATCCTCGCAGATCTCAAGCTCACACCCAATGCCGAAGCCACGGTGCAGAAGTACACCAAGGAAAGTGTCAGCTCCAACGGCGCCTACGCCATCTTTCACGAGACGGACCTCGTCGACTGGAGTCAGATCAACTCCTTGTGGGAGACAGCACTTAAGACATTTCCTCAGATCGACATCGTATGCAATGGAGCAGGGCTTTATGAGCCGCCTTCAAGCTCCTTCTGGACCCTCCCCGGCGTCTCTCCTTTAGCGGGAGACGACGCCAATGCCAAGATCGGCCAGTACAAGACTTTCAGCGTCAATGCCATCGCGCCGGTCCGCTTGGCCCAGATCGCCATCGACTACTGGCTCCAGAACCGCAACATTCAAGGCAACCTTATCTGGGTGGCTAGTCTGGGCGCATATGTCCACTCGGTTCACACACCAATGTACTTCGCCAGTAAAGCCGCTTCCATCAGCATGGTGAAGAGTCTTGGCCGGCTCCACAAGGAAGTCGGAATCAGAGTCGCGGCCGTCTGTCCCGGAGCGACCTACGTACGTTCTTTCTTGCCTCAGCTTAAAATTTTGGCTGTACACTGACTTTTTGCCAGACCGAGATCTTCCAGCCCGAGTACTGTCGCGACCGGATCCGTCCTGATGATCTTACCATGACGCCACAGCAACTTGCGGGTGTCATGATGCGTGTGCTCACGGAGCCAGAGTTCGGTGATGGCAACATCATCGAGGCTATGATGCTGGGAAACAAGAAGGAATCGTCATTGGGAGTACGAGAGGTGCCAATGCATTTGCTCTACCCGTCTTGTGGGGCTGGTGAGGACCATCATCTGGTGGAGGAGGAAGAGAAAATGGTGAAGAACCTCAAGGAACATGGGATGCGCGGCTAATTGCTTGTCAACTCCCGATATCACATACTTTGTCTGGCCGTCGTAGGCTTTGCTCAGAGCACCAAACTTGGGGATCAACAGAAACCTCATGGCCAACGTTGCGGATTCGACGCCATCCTCGAGAAGCTTGAAAGCCCCCGGCTCCACCGCACTAGACTCCAATCCAACGATGCAAATTTGCCTCGCTTTCCACAACTCCACATCGTCTTGACTATCGTGGGGATATGAAATTCTTTCCGCAACCATTCCAGCATCCACCAGCGATCCAAGGGTTTCCGAAGATCGCATCTGGGAGGGTGGCCGAGTTGGTTATGGCGCCAGGTTAAGGTCAGCTTAACATCTGTTTCCTGGTGGGGCAACCCGCGCGAGTTCGAGTCTCGTCCCTCTCAAGACTTTGCTTTTGCCTTGTTCCACAGTCATTCGAATCGAACATAATGGTAAGATGCTTATGGAGATTACGCATTGATTACACGCATGTGAGATAGACAACTCTCTTTTGCCGCAGTCGGGTTTAAGGGCCGCGGCCGGTCAACCGAGACGGCGTTGGAGTTTTCGGTCTTTTTATATGTGCGAGTTGTTCCCATGACATGTCTGTGCAGGGAAGATGCCTTTACTTTCAAGTAGCGGTGTGCTTTGACTCGAGATGAATCGTGGTCTATATTGTCGGCATGCAACCCAAGCGGTGTGGGCTATTATCCTTGTTCTCGGCATTGCGAAAGCAACGTTGACAACTCTCCAATGACACCCTCGGGACTTCTGAATCTAGAAATCTTCCGAGCTGCTGCAGATATGACATGCCTGGATGGGTATCCATCAGATTCAAGAATGAGCTGAACTTTGGAAACAATACAGGATGAACAAAATTACTGTGAGTAGAGCTTGGTAGACTTCGCAACGAGTAGTCCCTCAAAGGTGTCAGACAACTTGTAGCACCATTGCTGTAGTAGATAACAGGGAATAGGGAACACAGAAACAACTCGCAGCATTTCCTAAAATAGAGTAGATCTACAACCAGGGCCAAGATTAGCGAGTGTATCCCTCCGGGCCTCCTCATCCGATCGCACGAGTAGTCAAAAATAAACTTTCGGGAGTTGTATCAGCACAGACGAGACCGACGGGTATCTCCAACGGCCACGGCCACGGCCACGGCCACGGCGGCGTCAAGGCCGCCGACCACCGAAATGACTAAGGTCGCATCCACAGCGACCACGATACTTTCCATGGGCTTTCCAACGTCTAAACTCTGAATGGTTCCACGGAATCGTCCGGATTCAGAACCGTCCGTAGTAGTATAAGGCGACGGCTGTTCCCCCGCACTGGTAGTGGGATGGTTTGCCACCTTTTGACGACTACCGATAGTCCCGAGGACTCGATTGCTCAGTTTACTTTCGGAGGGCAATTTCGTTGCTGTTCTCGGTCTCGGAAACTCAATTGCAACACCCTCGAACTGCAGCCCGAGCACTTCTCTGGGTTGGTAGCAAATCAATCAGCATGCTCACCGTGGACTTGGTCACCCGATTGGCGGGATACAATCCGGGATTACTGCCTACTGTTGCATTTTTAGCAATATGTGTTGGTGTTCTTGGCTGGTATTGGAGGGAAGATAGGTCGTATCGCGGATTCAAGCTCATCGGCCAAGAAAGCGGCGACTGGTCTTATCAGAAAGCTCGGCTGCGATGGAACTCGGATGCTCTCGAACTACTAAGAGATGGCTTCGAGCAGGTGGGACATATTTGGCACTCAATGAAGAAACATTTCTGATCAATAGTAGACAAATGGCAAACCATTTCAGGTCCTCTCTCCTTTCGGCCCCTTGGTCATGTTGCACCCGCGGATGTCTGAGGAGATCAGGAACGACAAGCGATTCACCTTCACTGGCTTCATCGAAAGAGTAGGTGTCCCAAATCTGTATTAACATCAACGATTTCTTTCTGCTTCTCTTCGTTGTTCTCTTGCCCAATTCCATCAACACTCTGCGGCTCTTCGAAAGACGCTGACCGACTTTGAAGCACTGGCTCACTCGCTACCCCGGTCTGAACGTCCTTCAAGAGGGTCTAAAAGACGAAATAATCCAAGAAGCCATTCGCCGGAATCTTAACCAGGAACTCCGTATTAAATCCTCACCCTCTTACTCTGCCTCGAGTATTGGGCTAACACCACCCGCCAGTGCACATAACCGAACGTCTCTGCGAAGAAACGAACTTCATCCTCAACGAGCAACTCCCGTCGTCCAAAGGTTGCCCACTCCAGTTCCATCTCAGAATCTCCATCTCAAACTGATAACCTCCCCAGAATGGCAAGAAGTAAAATTCTTCCCGGTGGCCTTGCAGCTCTCCTCCCGCCTCTCCGCCAAAATCCTCCTCGGCGACCGCCTCGCCCGCTCAAAGCAATGGGCAGCCCTCTCCATCTCCTTCGCCTCCCTGATCCTCTCCGCCGGCCGCGATCTCCGCCCGTGGCCTGTCCTTCTGCGCCCGCTCGTCCACCGCTTTCTCCCCTCGCTCAACCTCCTCCGGTCCCAAATCGCGTTAGCCAAGGAACTGATGGAGCCCGAGCTCGCGGCAGCACGCAGCCAGACCCGAAAAGACGCCGACGAGAAGTCGAAGGACTCGCTGTCGTGGATTGAGGAGGTCCGGCGCGGGCGGGAATTCGACGTCGTTGCCGGACAGCTGTTTCTGACTTTTGCAGCGATCCACACGACGTCATCTATCTTGACTGCGCTGATGTATGATTTGCTCGCGAACCCGGAGTACTTTGAGCAACTGAGAGAGGAGATTGTGAGGGTATTTGGAGAGGAAAACGGGTGGAGCAAGAATAGCTTGTACAAGCTGAAGTTAATGGACAGCTGCTTGAAGGAGACGGCGCGGCTACATGTTCTCGGACCTCGTAAGGCACCTCACACTCTGATTCTGATCTGTTGCTGACATCATGGGGCGCGCGACAGACATGTTTAACCGGAAGGTAGAGGCCCCAGTAACCCTCTCCGACGGCACGCACCTCCCCAAAGGCGTCCACGTCAGCATCTCAATGTGGCAGAACCGCGACCCAGCCATCTGGGGGCCCGACGCCGACCAGTTCGACGGGCACAGATTCCTCCGGATGCGCGAGCAGCCCGGACAGGAGAACAGGTGGCAGTTCGTCTCGACAAGTCCCGAGTGGCTTGCGTTCGGGCATGGCATGCATGCGTGCCCGGGCAGGTTCTTTGCGAGCAATGAAATGAAGATTGTGATGGTTCATCTGATCATGAACTACGACTGGAAGATCATTGGGGAGAAACTGCCGGGCAGCATGTTCAAGAGCAGATTCGTGCCGGACGTCAAGACTGTTGTGGGCTGTAAGAAGAGGGAACCTGAGATTCAGCTATGAAGGGACGTGATATAGAACAGAACAGGTAGACAAAAGAAAAGTTCAACACAGGACAGATGCTGTTTGACCAAGGGCATTCATTTGCAGACAAGAGAAAGACAGAGGTCAGCCACGAGAGCAATGACCGACAACGACACCGGAAAAGACAAAAAGAGAACTGGAAGCTTCAATCGCTGACGGGAATTGAGCCCGACGTGGGGGTCGAACCCACAACCTTGAGATTAAGAGTCTCACGCTCTACCGATTGAGCTAGCCGGGCGATTTGAAACCCAGTGCTGGCTGGAAATTGTTGCAGGTCTGAGGACGCAGAGCAGATTATGGAGCGCGGGAGAAAGAGGTGTGGAAATCAAGGTGAAAACTTTTCATGGTCCTCGTCCGGGGCGGGGCCGGAGCTGGGTCCGGAAATGGGGCCGAACCACCACGCGCGGACTTGTACTAAGAGCAGAACCCTGAGTCGTGGGGCCCTGTTCGTCTAGTCTCTGCGGCACCATCCGCTGCAAATGTGCGATTTAAAGTTGCGGGATGTTTGGCCATGTTTCAAGGCCCTTAGAGACGGTCCGTTAGTCTAAACCAAGGGAGACTTACGTCAGCGAACGCGCGCGGAATAAGTTGCTGCTTTGACCGAGACATGACTTACGCGCCCGACACCATGCGAAGCTCACGAGTCGTCAACTATACAGATGTGCAGCTTATGGTTAACAATGTGGTGTTGCGCTTGACGTCGCGGTAATCAAGGATGAAAATCATGGTTGAAGACATAAGGAAATCCATTTTCGAGTATGTTGTAGCTATACACACCGGCAAACCACCTGGTCTGCCCCTTTTTCATCCTAGTGTCATCAGACCTCCGCCGCCAAAGCCATATCAATACATGCAGTATGACGAACATCAGATACCGCTTCCATTACCACATGCTCCACGTGATCGCCTCTAGTGACCACCTCCTCTCGCCCTCTTGGCGCCGCCTGCTCCCCCGGCTTCCGAATCTCCTCTCGGCCTCTTGTTTCCAGGTTGGAAGTCATTAGCACCAGGATTCATCGCGGAAGCGTGTCCTCCTCTAGCACCGCCACGTCCACCACGACCGGCACCTCCGCCTCTCTCGGCTCCTCCACTCGACACTCTATTGCCAGCAGCGTAAGCACCTCCACGGCCACGGGCAGTTGCGCCTCCACGTTGTCCAGGCATGGGAATGCCGGTGCTGCGTGTGGCCGGCTGGTTCTGCGTCGCAGGCTGCTGGCCTTGGCCTTGTTGTCCTGGTGCTTGGGCAGCTTGGGCAAAGGGGTTAGCCTGGCCCTGGCCTGACTGAGCAAAAGGATTCGGCTGAGCAGCGTTGTTGCCAGCGAACGGATTGCCCCCAGCATTTGCTGCTTGTTTGTTATCCGGAGGAGCGGGGATCTGTCGCTTGACTTGGGGAATGCCACTCGATGGCTGAGGGATGCCGCTGCCAGGCTGAGGAATGGCGCTGGGCGGTTGAGCGGCAGGTTGTGCCTGGTTGGTGGCGGCCGGTGCTTGAACTGTGTTAGAACCATGATCATATTTAGAACTGACAGTAGAGAACTTACCACTTGCGTTTGCAGCGCCTTGTGCCGGCGCTGAGGCAGCGGACGGTGCCGAAATTGAGGGACGAGGCTGCGCGT